CCCAGGTGTGGGCGGGGCTCACCTGGCCACACCCCCCAGGCCTCGCTGGACCAACAAGAGAGAAGGGAGGGGAGGAGCATCTTGAGACAGGTGTGGGGCAGTTTTGGGCGGGTTTCAGGTGGTTTGGGGGTTACCTGTACCACAGGTGTGCCCCAGGTGTGGGCGGGGTTCACCTGGCCACGCCCCCCAGGCCTCCCTGGACCAACTAGAGAGAAAGGGAGGGGAGGAGCATCTTGAGACAGGTGTGGGGCAGTTTTGGGCAGGTTTCAGGTGGTTTGGGGGTTACCTGCGGCCCAGGTGTGGCCGGGAGGTGGGTGGGGCTCACCTGACCACGCCCCTTAGTTATCCCTGAACCAACCAGAGACCGGAGAGAAGGAGGGAGGGGAGGAGCATCTTGAGACAGGTGTGGGGCGGTTTTGGGCGGGTTTCAGGTGGTTTCGGGGTTACCTGTGGCACAGGTGTGCCGGGGTGGGCGGGGCTCACCTGGCCACACCCCCCAGGCCTCCCTGGACCAACCAGAGAAAAGGGAGGGGAGGAGCATCTTGAGACACATGTGGGGCAGTTTTGGGCAGGTTTCAGGTGGTTTGGGGGTTACCTGTGGCACAGGTGTGCCGGGGTGGGCGGGGCTCACCTGGCCACGCCCCTTAGTTATCCCTGAACCAACCAGAGACCGGAGAGAAGGAGGGGGAGGAGGAGCATCTTTAGACAGGTGTGGGGCAGTTTTGGGCAGGTTTCGGGTGGTTCTGGGGTTACCTGTGGTACAGGTGTGGCCGGGGGGTGGGCGGGGCTCACCTGGCCACGCCCCTTAGTTATCCCTGAACCAACCAGAGACCGGAGAGAAGGGAGGGGGGGAGGAGCATCTTGAGACAGGTGTGGGGCAGTTTCGGGCAGGTTTCAGGTCGTTTCGGGGTTACCTGTGGCCCAGGTGTGCCCCAGGTGTGTTGGGGTGGGCGGGGCTCACCTGGCCACGCCCCCCAGGCCTCCCTGGACCAACAAGAGAGAAGGGAGGGGCGGAGCATCTTTAGACAGGTGTGGGGCGGTTTTGGGCAGGTTTCAGGTGGTTTTGGGGTTACCTGTGCCCCAGGTGTGCCCCAGGTGTGGGCGGGGCTCACCTGGCCACACCCCCCAGGCCTCCCTGGACCAACAAGAGAAAGGGAGGGGGAGGAGCATCTTGAGACAGGTGTGAGGCAGTTTTGGGCGGGTTTCAGGTGGTTTTGGGGTTACCTGCTTCACAGGTGTGCCCCAGGTGTGCCAGGGTGGGCGGGGCTCACCTGGCCACACCCCCCAGGCCTCCCTGGACCAACTAGAGAGAAAGGGAGGGGAGGAACATCCTGAGACAGGTGTGGGGCAGTTTTGGGCAGGTTTCAGGTGGTTTTGGGGTTACCTGCGGCACAGGTGTGTCCCAGGTGTGGGCGGGGCTCACCTGGCCACACCCCATAGGCATCCCTGGACCAACCAGAGAGAAAGGGAGGGGAGGAGCATCTTGAGACAGGTGTGGGGNGGGAGGGGAGGAGCATCTTGAGACAGGTGTGGGGCAGTTTTGGGCAGGTTTCAGGTGGTTTTGGGGTTACCTGTAGCCCAGGTGTGGCCGGGGGGTGGGCGGGGCTCACCTGGCCACGCCCCTTAGTTATCCCTGAACCAACCAGAGACCGGAGAGAAGGAGGAGGGGGAGGAGCATCTTGAGACAGGTGTGGGGCAGTTTTGGGGCAGGTTTCAGGTGGTTTCGGGGTTACCTGCTTCACAGGTGTGCCCCAGGTGTGGGCGGGGTTCACTTGGCCACGCCCCTTAGTTATCCCTGAACCAACCAGAGACTGGAGAGAAGGAGGGGGGGAGGAGCATCTTGAGACAGGTTTTGGGCAGGTTTCAGGTGGTTTCGGGGTTACCTGTGGCCCAGGTGTGGCCGGGAGGTGGGCGGGGCTCACCTGGCCACACCCCCCAGGTTTCCTTGGACCAACCAGAGAGAAAGGGAGGGGAGGAGCATCCTGAGACAGGTGTGGGGCAGTTTTGGGCGGGTTTCAGGTGGTTTTGGGGTTACCTGTGCCCCAGGTGTGGCCCAGGTGTGGGTGGGGCTCACTTGGCCACACCCCTTTGCTGTCCCTGGACCAACAAGAGAGAAGGGAGGGGCAGAGCATGTTGAGACAGGTGTGGGGCAGTTTGGGGCAGGTTTCAGGTGGTTTTGGGGTTACCTGCGGCCCAGGTGTGGGCGGGGCTCACCTGGCCACGCCCCTTAGTTATCCCTGAACCAACCAGAGACCGGAGAGAAGGAGGAGGGGGAGGAGCATCTTTAGACAGGTGTGGGGCGGTTTTGGGCAGGTTTCAGGTGGTTTTGGGGTTACCTGCTTCACAGGTGTGCCCCAGGTGTGCCGGGGTGGGCGGGGCTCACCTGGCCACGCCCCCCAGGTGTCTTTGGACCAAGCAGAGAGAAGGGAGGGGAGGAGCATCCTGAGACAGGTGTGGGGCAGTTTTGGGCGGGTTTTAGGTGGTTTGGGGGTTACCTGTGGCCCAGGTGTGGGCGGGGCTCACCTGGCCACACCCCCCAGGCCTCCCTGGACCAACCAGAGAGAAGGGAGGGGTGGAGCATCTTGAGACAGGTGTGGGGCAGCTTTGGGCAGGTTTCAGGTGGTTCTGGGGTTACCTGTGGCCCAGGTGTGGGCGGGGCTCACCTGGCCACGCCCCCCCGTGCCAGGCCTCGCTGGACCAGCCGACGGCGACGGTGATGATGCACCGGACGGAGCCGACGGCGACGCAGAACCTGGCGCTGCAGCTGGCCGAGAAGCTGGGCAACCTGGTGGAGAACAACGAGCGCGTCCTCGACCAGCGCCAGGGCGCCTACGGGGGGTACTTCCGCGGTGAGCGCACCTGGGGGGGGGCGCCTGGGGGCACCTGGGGGCACCTGGGGTACACAGGGTATATCTGGGATACACTTGGGCACACCTGGGGGCACCTGGGGCGGAGCTGGGCACACCTGGGGTACCGGGGGTGTATCTGGGATACACCTGGGCACACCTGGGGGCACCTGGGGGATGTGGGATATGTCTGGGATACACCTGGGGGGCACCTGGGCACACCTGGGGGCACCTGGGGGACGTGGGATATGTCTGGGGTACACCTGGGCGCACCTGGGCGGCACCTGGGGCGGAGCTGGGCACACCTGGGGGCACCTGGGCACACCGGGGGGACGTGGGATATGTCTGGGGTACATCTGGGTGGCACCTGGGGACACCTGGGGGCACCTGGGGTAGGTGAGATGTATCTGGGATACACCTGGGGGCACCTGGGCACACCTGGGCGGCACCTGGGGGATGTGGGATGTGTCTGGGATACACCTGGGGGCAGCTGGGGGCACCTGGGCACACCTGGGGGCACCTGGGCAGCACCTGGGGCGGAGCTGGGCACACCTGGGGTACCTGGGGTGTATCTGGGATACACCTGGGCACACCTGGGGGCACCTGGGGGACGTGGGATATGTCTGGGGTACACCTGGGGGGCACCTGGGCACACCTGGGGGCACCTGGGGTAGGTGGGATGTATCTGGGATACACCTGGGGGGCACCTGGGGTAGGTGGGATGTATCTGGGATACACCTGGGGGGCACCTGGGGT